TTTTAATTGTTATTGATATAAGTTATTAAATTTTTATTTAAATTTTATATTTAAAAAATTAAATAAATTAAATTAAATTTATTAAAAATGAACAAAATAAGTAAATTTTTTAAAGTTTCTTACTTTATATATCAAATTATATTAAATTATAAAAAAAATTATTGAATAAAAAACAACTCTTAATATTACAAATTTATTTTTTATTTAATAATTTAAATTATATAACTTGAACTTAAAATATTTTTTGTTTTTATTTTTATGTGGTTAAAAAAATAAGAATAGAATTTAGAAAAGAAAAGCAAAAGAAATCCCAGAAGGGAAGGTTAACACGTTGAAAACAACCTCGTCAAATCCAATCCAAAACAAAACACACACGTGCCGACTCACACGTTCGTTGACCTTACCGAATTCCCATATCACCCACCCTTAACTGCCAATATTTCAGACAATAAACCATAAACAGTAATTAAACGGAGGGGCAATTCCGACCAAAAGAAATTCGTCCCGTCACCGTTTACTAATATATTTTAATTTTATTATCAATTTTTTTCATCTTCTTCCTCCACCTCAAATCAATCTGAAGATTGACCCATTTTCTGCTATAATAAACCTCGAAACGTTTCGTCTTAGCCAACCGGAGCCGTATATTCGCCGGAAAACGATACAATAGTATCATAGTCGGGAACTCCGAATTCGGGCTCATTGGGTATGTGTCATTTGTTTTGAATTTTCCTTGATTTTAATTTAACTGCTGGGAAGCTGTGTGCTTGATTTGGAAATTGAAAACCTAGAGTAATGCAATTACTTGCTTTGATTTTTTTTTTTTTATGTATTTTCTGTTGTTAATTGGGTTTTTGTTGCAGAAATGGGAGGAAGAAATTGGCTAATTCTGGGGATTTTGGCATGTCTAATTGCGTTTTCTTCTGCGAGAGGTATTTATTTCAACTGGGTCCTTGCAATTACAATTTCTTTTAGAGTGAAATTTAGCTTGTCAACTCCAGCTTAGTTTAAAACATTGATGGAAGATTTTGGTTTGATTTGAGGCTAAGATCAAATTTTGGAAGAAGGTGCTAGATTATAAAGAAATTTATGTTTCTGGGATCCCATTTATGCATTAGTAAAAAAGGAGTTATTTGTCTCCTTGTCTCTCTATGTGGTAATAGATACAGAGATTAAGCAAGTGGCTATTTGTCATCATTCATTTGCATTGTGAAGTACTGGGGAGTTTTAGTTTGTAAAAATTCATTCAGCATCACATATTTGTCGTTATTTCAATTTCAATGGGTTGTTTTTTGGGGAAGATTGGTGCTTAACGAGGCATTCTTTCCTTGTCACAGAGCTGAAGGTCAGGGAGGATAATAAACTTGCTGTTTATAATCACACTCTGGGTACCATTTTGGTGGAGTATGCTTCCGCGGTAAGAATTTTTTTCAATGGAATTGCATTGTAATGAACAGTGAATTTTGAATTATTGCAATTGGAGTATCATAATGCTTCATCCATCTTGTTCTTGTTTTCATCTTTAAGTGCTAAAAAAATACCGTTGAGGGATTCAGTATCAATAATTAGGAACTCAGGAAAATTCTATAATTGCAGGTTTACCTGTCAGATTTGACCGAACTGTTTACCTGGACATGCCCAAGATGTGATGGTTTGACTGCGGTACTTAATTTCGTACCATCTTCTTTATTCCAAGTTCAAGTAGTTGTCTGATCTAACCAGTTGTTTTGATGCTCTTTTGAATGGTAACAGGGATTTGAAGTTATAGATCTTGTTGTTGATGTGCAACATTGCTTACAGGTTTGTTTCCCATGTCATGCGTTCCATATTTAATTAACAATAAAGATAATTAAAAAAAAGGGGGCCCATTTTCATGCAATGTGCAATGCAGCCCTCTAATTTCAAACTGGTTTGATATGGTCCTCCAATATTAATGAGTTGTAGTCTGAAATGAAAGGAATTTCAAGGTTAAGTTGCACATGGCATTTTTTTAATTGTCCTTAAATAGTATCACGATCCTTTAACGGGTTTGAATACTTATTTTATAATAACTAACATGATAATGGCTATCTTATGCTAGGCATTTGTTGGAGTGGCAAGGGATCCCAATGCCATTGTTATTGCCTTCAGAGGAACCCAGGAACACAGGTACTAATACTTCACTGCTATATATTTTTGTAATTTCTGTTGGACAGTATTTTGAAACCAGATTTTGGGATGAACAACGAAAAGGAGCTATGCTGGTTTGTGACATGCTCTAACACGATGATTCATGGCACAGAAAGACATAATGATAACAGTCAATCCAGAACTAAAGAATTCTTCTTAAACATTGATCTTAATATCCTTGATTTCTATTAATTGATTAATTCTGTGTACACAGCATACAGAATTGGATTGAAGACTTGTTCTGGAAACAACTAGATTTAAATTACCCTGGCATGCCTGATGCAATGGTGGGTCTAGCAAAGAAGTCTTTGTGAATAAATAAATTGTTTATGTTTGAGTGAATGATGTCCACCTTTAATCCTTTTGCTCTCTTTCAGGTGCACCATGGGTTTTATTTTGCTTACCACAATACAACCCTGCGTCCTGCAATTTTAAATGCTGTTAAACAGGCAAAGGAAATTTATGGAGACATAGACATCATGGCAACAGGACATTCAATGGGAGGGGCTATGGCAGCCTTTTGTGGACTTGATCTAACAGTAATCTCTTGTCTTGAATCTTTGTACAACTGGTGCCATTTATTGTGTTATTTGTCGATTTATAGATCTTTGCAATTGCTCCATGGAATTAAAATTGTGTGGAGTGTTAATAATTAACTTCTTAGTTGAATTCTGGCCACTTTATTGTTTACTTTGTCAGAGTCATATTGAAACATATAATTTTTCTGTTATCAGGTTAACCATGAAGCCAAGAATGTTCAGGTCATGACATTTGGACAGCCTCGAATAGGCAATGCAGCATTTGCATCTTACTATAGACAACTTGTTCCCAATACAATTCGTGTCACTAATGATCATGATATTGTCCCTCACTTGCCTCCATACTATTCTTACTTTCCACAAAAGACATACCACCACTTTCCTAGAGAGGTAATGTTTGCTTCCTATGTAAATATCTTTGACTTTACTAGCAGAACTGCAACTTTGATATTACATAGCTCTATGTGGCATAGTTTTCTCTTATCATGAGCAAGGGTAGACATTCTTGGTATCCTGGTACCTAGACACATACAAGCACCCCATCCTTGTAACTAGATAACATTTAATATAGTGTACTCAAAACAGGATTATCTTGAATGTCTGTTTGATAGTGGCTTCAGTGATAGCATTATTCCTTTTGTAGGTGTGGCTGTATAATATTGGATTGGAAAGTCTGGTTTATGAAGTTGAGAAGATTTGTGACAAATCTGGCGAAGACCCAACTTGTAGTAGGTAAGACTATCCTTGTATCTGATTTTTTTTTTTTTTTTTTCAAAAAGAAGGGATTTTATTCACAGTTTATACTAAATCAAATATTGTGCAAGCTTAAGCATCTATTAAATTTCAGAAAAGTGAAAATTTAAGTTTTGATTTCATTGACATGATGATGATATAAATTTACTCAAAATTATGAGAATGTGAAATTAGGTCATTGGTTGAGATTGTAATTGTGTCTTCCCCCCATTTTCTTGGGTAAAAAGGAAGTGTTTGCCACTCGAGGCTGCTGTGAACTCTTATACTTCCTGACATTTGGTTTCAGGTCGGTGACAGGGAACAGCATCTCAGACCATCTAGTTTATTATGGTGTTGAATTAATGTGTGAGACATGGAGATCATGCAGAATTGTTAGTGATCCTCTTGTAGCGGAATATGGCAAAACAGATCTCCAAGGAAATCTCATTTTGTCTAAAGATCCAGCCACTCCAATTCTGAAGATGAAAACACAATCCAGTGAGGGGAGTAATCACATTTAGCACGTAAGCTGATGGTGTGATTTCTCTTGCATGATCATTGAAATGTAACGGATTTTTACCAAGGAAGCTGCTTCTCATTCCTCAACTGACACAACGTAAAAAGTTGACATCCAGAGAATGATGCTGCGGTGGTTCTGGCTGTAAGGAAATTGTGTATATAGCTATTAAATTGTTGTACATCCTCAAATAAACAAACACTGGCCATGCGTAATGCAACCAAGATTATTTCCGTTGTATTACACAAACAACCTGATGTTTCAAATCTCTCAAAAAAGGTGGGAGAAACCTTCGTTACGCATGTAGCACATTCATCCTTACCACATTCATGGGATTATTGGGTCTGACCTTTAAATTCTTCTTCTGTTAATCTGTTCTCTATATTTCTCCTCAGTCAATCAATCCATTTTTGAGGAATCAAAAGGAAAAATCTCCACCAAGTTAATACAGCATTACCCCTGGTATTTACTTTCTGTGTCTGACATTGTTATTTTTCATGGTTTCCTCAAATTTTCAGTTCAGACTTCTGCAACTTGAAAAAAAGATTGAGAAAAATCATAACATCTTGGTAATTAAAATTTTAAGAGTGTTAATGAAATGATTAAAATATCTTTAATAAATTAATATATAAGATATCTTTATTTTTTTTAGTATTTAAATAATTTTATAATCACTCCTAACGTGATTTCTTCATTTTTACTTTTCTTATTAATATTGAGTTAGAACCATTCATCACCAAACAGAGAAATTGTCAAAAGCCATATATATTATACCATGAAACAAACACATTGTACTTACTTTTGATGTTCCCCCTAGATCCCTCAACCCTTATATTTTTTCCATGATTGTGGGTTCAGAGAATCATCATAATTTCAGTACATAAATAGAAATGAAAAACAATACACTATGATGAACAGATATTAAATGCAGGACAAGCTTCAGGGTTCCTTTGTTGCTGAACCAGCAGGTGTCTCCTCCTGACAAAAAAGAAGACACTTCAGTTATTCTTATTTTCTCGACAATTCGATTCAGTTCTAGTGAGATAAAATCAATATGGAAGCAACTAAGCAAATGAATTTGAATGTTAAAGTACCTTGTTCTCAGTCAAATCCTGTTCTCCAGTTGGGTTCTTTGAAACCTCTGCTTCCCTTTCTTTCATCAAGTTTTCTTCCTTCACAATTTCAGGCTCTGTTTCCTTGACCAGGCTATCTGCTTCAACGGATTCCACTGCTTCTGTTTCCTCGACCAACTTAGCTTCCTCCACTTTTTCAGGCTCTGCTGCTTCAACATTGGCTTCTGTTTCCTTCACCGAGGTATCTTCCTCAGCAATTACAGGCTTCTCTGCTTCGATGGCGTCCACTGCTTCTGTTTCCTTCACTTTCTCATTAGCCAAACACTCTTTTCCATCTTCAGATTTTTCCTCAGCAGCTTCCACAACATTGCTCTTCTCATCTCCTTCCTTCAATTCCACCACATCTACCGAAGAATCACTCTTGACATCCCCACCTTTCTCCTCTGTTTTTGCTTCAGCACTTTTGACCCCATCTGCATTCTTGACCTCTTCTCCTCCTTTCTGTTCTATCAATGAGCTTGTTTTGCTACCATCCGTTTCTGTTTTCACATTCTCAGCCCCTCCTCCAGATTTATTTTGCTCCGGCGAGGATGTTGTGTCTTTATTTGTGCTTGTTTCTGGTGGGGTTTCCCGGCCTCTGTTCCACCTAGATATAATACTTGATTTCCTCCGGGCCATGGTGTTTCCATCAGCAACTTGGTGCTTGGATTCACCACAACCCATCTTTGAAATCTTTCTGAATCTTCGGAATGCAGGGAGGAAAGAGAGGCTATCCCCTTTTGTACTGGCCCTGTTGTTGTCTCGGGAGGTTGGTTATCTGATGACCGTTTTTTCTGTTGGGTTTTGGAGGCTGAGATGGGTTTGTGTTGTTTGGCAAACAAAAGAAAGTATATTTTTAGGCATTAGTTTCTTTAGTAAACAACCTTCAATAGCACTTGTAACAATAATAGTAAATTTTTACCACACTTTAATTTATGGGGGGAAATGACTAGGAAAATTGAAGAATTATTCTTCGGTTATAACCTATTATTATAGCTCATCAAGCACGTAGGAAAAGAAAATTGAGCACCTAGAAACGGCAAATAATATTATAGGTGGCGTTGCTGTGTGCAATGGAAAGCTCCATTAGATAACAATTTTATAAGATATATAGTTCTCTTGATTCTTTTATGATTTATTAATAATATTTAAAGGTTTAGTGAATTAGTAACATTTGCTAAAGTAAACTTTGATTTAGAATTAAGCAATGGTGGAACTATGTTTTATCATGGTTGGGCATGGCCACCAAAAAATTGAAAAATAAAGGGCCCAAGCTAAGGTTTTATGGAAAAAATAATTGAAAACCCAAGATTAAAATGAGAGAGATAAAAAGGAAAAAAAACTCGAGTCCAAGAAAAAAAGAAAAAAAGACCCAATAATTAGTTTGTTTGGTTTTGTTACTTTTAAAGCCAGGTCAAGGTGCAAACATTTATTAAGTTGTTTAGATTAATTTTTTTGAAACAGTTAATAGTTAATAATTAATAGTTGATGTTGGATAATTGATAATTATTGATATTTATAATTTAAAATATTTAATTTATTTAATTAAAATCATTTGTTAATAATTATTTTTAATAAGTTAAAACAAATATCTCTTTACGGATAAATGCCAAAGTTTTGAAGTAAAAATATAAAATAAAAGCTCTTCGATTCGCTTTTACCACCAATTCTTGATGTTTATTTCCTCCCATAATCGTTGGATTAGGACCAAAAAAGTTCCTCTACTTCTTTGGAACTCCAATTTTCTAAGCACCTAAATGAGCATTTTCTAATAGAATGCTAACAAGCTTTTTTTTTTTTTTTTAAATAGTTATTCTTTAATTCTAAAAATTAAATGAAAATTAAATTCAAAATTAAATTTTTACTTAATTAGACACATCAGTATAACCATAAAAAGGGGGAAAAAAAAAAAAGAGAAACGAGCAAATTCAAGGTAAGTTGCAATTCATGCGAGGATCTGATCTGAAAAGTGAGATAAAATATTGGTGTAGCAACTTGATCTTTGTATGCATCTCAGGATCCATTTTTAAGTTCAACTGAAAATGCACAGAGCCCTCTACGGCTTAATTTGCCTTTTCAAAGAATTCAAAGCATGGAAGCAACGAATCATTCACCTCCATACTTCTGAGCACTGTTATAGTTATAATTATTAAAATATAAAAAAAATTTATTTATAAAAATATTGATTTAATTTAATTAATTAATAAAAATAATTAATATTTATAATTAATAAAATAATTAATATTTCTTAATTAAAAAATTAAAATCAACTAACAAATTAATATTTTTAAATACTAGTTAATAAAAAAAAACCTAAAATTTTGGTACCTTCTCCAATATTGATGGTGTGAATATCCAGACCCACACTACCCCACACTGGAACTGGAAGAATGTACAAGAAAGGAATACAAGTCGTGGAATCCTCTGGATCTAATGACGTCACATGTATATAAAGCAACCCAGTGATTCAAAGTTGACGATTTTTTCCCCTCCCCTGCTCTAGCCTTTCAATTGTGCATAACAATCAAGGATTTTTGTTGAAGAAAGTAACCATCTTTGCGCATTTCCAATTTGCCACCATGAATATTTTCACCGTTTCTTTGTTGGATTTATCTCCCCATTCAGTTTCAACTTGGGGCTTGGGGGTTCTTTGTTTTTTAATTTGTTTTTTCATACAGGGTCATCTCAATTCTCAAGTGGGGTGTTATTAAGGTTTGGAGTTATTGCGTCTTGTATCTCTTTGTTAAAATGCAATAAAGAATTTAGCTTTCTGAAACTCCATTCGTCAACTTTGCGGCGCCTGGTCACTTTCTCTCAAAGTCACCAGTCCTGTGCTGTCACCACTCCCCACACAGTCACCCACCCATGACACACCTTATCCTCTCTCATTTCAGGAGCATTGTTGCTATTATAATATTAGCTCCAAATATAAGATATTGCGGTTGTAGAAAGAGGGTTGCGTGCAAGTGCAACATGTAATTTTGTAAATGATGCGTTGGTTCGTGATATCTTTGTATGGAGGATTTATTATTTCTTTTTATATTCTGAGGATTGGGAGTTTGGGACAACCCACCAAAACTAACTCCATCTTCCCAAATCGGGAAATTCTTTCTCTCTGGGGCTTTTTGCAGATAATTCTTTCAAATACTCATGGAAGCCTGTTCAGCCAATGAACGCCTCCAGTTTGGGAAGATGGGATACGGGTATGTTTTCCATTTTTCCTGTGTTTTGTTCTACGGTGATTTACGTTGCTTTCTTGATGTATGACTGAAGAGGTTTCTCTTTCTTTTCTGGGTTATTGTTCTGGTAGATGCAAGCATTATAGGAGGAGATGCAGGATTCGAGCTCCTTGTTGCTACGAGGTCTTCTCTTGTCGCCATTGTCACAATGAGGCTGCGGTATTTTGATCTTCGATGCATTACCCTCTTATCTCTTCTTCTTTTTTTTAAAGCTATATGTGTTCACTTCATTTGTATTTTCTTGATCTGTGTATTTATTTATTTTTTCTTGATTTCTTCATTTTTCAGAGCATGTTGAGAAACCCTTATGATCGACATGAGATTGTTCGACAAGATGTTAAACAAGTATGGCATTGGAAATCTCAGTTCTTTTCTTGATTTTGGTCTTATTTATGTTAGTGTCTTAGAAAGTGGTGGTGATCTTGGTTTTTTTATATGCATGTTAAGGTTATTTGTGCAGTTTGCGACACAGAGCAGCCGGTATGTATGTTTCAAGATTTGTAATAGCAAAAGCCTCTTGTTCTTCTTTTCTTTCATATTCTAAATTGGTTTCATTTTATACCAGGTTGTGCAGGTCTGTACAAACTGTGGCGTAAATATGGGGGAATATTTCTGTGAGATTTGCAAGTTCTATGATGATGATGTAAGGAACTCTTCCCTTATAGATACCAAGATACGGATAAAAGGATGAAAGTTCACTTCTTTGCTGTTGTTGATTTGTAATTGTTTTTGCTTGGAATGTAGTAGACCGAGATTTGATTCATTTCTCATCCTATGATCCTTGTTTGTTTCTTTCCTTCTTCATTGATCTTGACAGTAACTTTTAATTGAATTGCAGACTGAGAAAAAGCAGTTTCATTGTGATGATTGTGGGATCTGCAGGTTAGTGGACTTAGTTTGAAGCATGGCTTGTTTTCCTCCAGATTTTCTGATAACGGTTATGCAAATCTTTGATATTTTAAATGTTGGTGTCACCTAATTGATGATGTTGACAACAGAGTTGGTGGTCGTGAGAACTACTTTCATTGCAAGAAGTGTGGTATGGTTTTGCCATCTGTGTTCTCGATTCTGTAATCCTTATGAAAATTGTTCATTTTGTTGTTTAGTCTTCTAATTCAATGGAAGTCTGGAACCCTACCCCTACATACTCTTCCCTTCTTCTCTAACTTTGTGATGGTTAGTATGTCTTTGTCTAGTCTTTACTGCTGCAGAGATGATTGGTTATAGGAACTACTAACATCCGGGGCTTTTCTGTTGTCTCCTGTCATCCTCTTTTCTTGTTTTCAAAGATGGTATTTTTAATCTGATATAGAACTGCCAGTCATGTTTCAGCAATTTATTTCTGTCAACTCTGAGCTACATTGCATCTTTTTGTTTTTGTCTTCCAACAATTCTCTTCATCTTTTAAATTTGTTTTGGTCCAAGCTAACATTATTGGGTGGTGGACTGGCTGGTAAGGGAGCAGTTAAAATGAGTGCCTTCCGCTCCTAGAATTTCTCTGCTCTAATTTGTTTGCATTGCAATCAGTTTTTCAATGACCAATATTTACCCTTAAAAACATAGCACGCATTCTTGTCTAGTTATACTAATATTTGGCAGCACAGGGACTTGCTATGGAATTGGTTTGCGTGATAATCATATGTGTGTGGAGAACTCCATGCAGCACCACTGTCCCATATGCTATGAGGTTTGTCTCATAAATACTTCAACTGCACCAAGAAGATCAGTTTTCTCATAAGTTTCTTTCTGTTTCTGTAGTACCTCTTTGACTCACTGAAAGACACTACTGTAATGAAATGTGGGCACACGATGCATTGTGAATGTTATAATGAGATGATGAAGCATGACAAGTAAGTGACTGTCAGGCTTTTTAACCTTAGTTTTGTTTTAATTGTGTACAAATTGAACTTCTGTTTGTTGGCAGTAACTTAAATTAATGTCATCCATCACCCAGGTATTGTTGTCCAATATGCTCCAAGTCAGTCATTGATATGTCCAGAATATGGAAAAGGATGGACGAGGAGGTACATATCTTTAATTTAAAGCTCATTGAATTGTAATGATTTAATTGCTTTTGAGCTTTTGTTTCTAATAAGCTGCCGTAACATCTTAGCCAATCTCATTTGCCATACAATCATGCTTCAATAATCATGACTTTAACATCGACTCTTTCGCAACTCGTTGTTTTCAGATACAGGCGACAGTCATGCCTGAGGAGTACCGTTACAAGAAGGTGTTTCAGTTCATCCCTCTTCATTTCTTACATCCTATGTTTGTATTTTTCTTGCATGTTTTTTCATTGATACAAAAGGATGCTGGAAAGTAGATATGAGGCATATGACTATGAGAAACCCCTTAGTTGAATTGTTACTTTTCTTTATTCGCTATATGGCCCAAGGATTGAACATACTTCCAAGTTCCAACAAACTTCCTCCCTGAATTTATGTGCACATGAAATCAATAGAAATGAATGGGTCAAAAGGTTTCAATATGTAATATTCCTTCAGGGAGTGGTGGTTTGACATTCTAACAAGAAGCGCTGTCATAATTTGATGGAAGAATCTTAAAAAAAAATGTGATTTGCAGGTTTGGATTCTTTGTAACGACTGCAATGACACAACAGAAGTATACTTTCACATAGTTGGGCAGAAATGCAGCCACTGCAACTCATACAATACGCGGACAATAGAACCTCCAGTTCAGCCTCAATAATAAGAGATAATGGGGGAAATGTATACGGGAAACACACTGGGGCAAGTTCAGTTTGAACCTGGAGCACAATATGAGGTGGAGTTCATAATTCTCATTTCTATTATGAAACTGTTGCTATATCATTGTACTATGATGCAAATAACCGTAGAATTTGTCTTTCCTCAGAAACTTCTTCTGAGCTTATTCTTCTTCTTCCTCCTATTATTACAGCGAACTGGTATTTGGTTTTTATAAAATGATATCAATACAATAGTACTACGAGGCAATATCTGTTTTCATATAGCTACAGTGTTATATATTTATCGATAATGAGTAGAATCATTTCCATAATAATTCCAGCAATTTTCTGTTTTCATCTTATTTGCATTGTAGGATACTCTCTTTTTTTTGGAACTTAAAGTCTTAGTCTGTTATCCAGTTAAGTCACCATTTTAGAGTATTATAGGCTCTGTTTGATGGAGTTTTTTTTGGAGCTTTTACTTTTAGTACTATTTATGAATTATAAATTTAAATTTTTATTAAAAAAAAAATTTAAAAATTATTTTAAAAAATAATAAAATGTGCGTAAAAAGAAAATTTATAAAAAGTAAATGTTTAAAACTTTTTAAAATTTATTATTTAAGGTTTTTTTAAAATTAAAAAAAATAAAAAAATATAAATTTTTAAAAGAAAATTTTAAATTTATGAAATATAAATAGTATAAAAAAACTAAAACATTTACAAATTTACTAAACATGCTCGTAGTATACTTCTCGTTGGTCTTTTAGTAATGGCATAAGCACGTCCTCCTTGCATGGATTATGGATAAACAAAGAGTGATTTGGTATTTGTTTAGACTGACGGATACATAGACCATTCCTTCAAATTTCTGATTATCGTTGACCAACTGTTCAAATTAGAAGGGGAAGGAGAAGGACACAACAACACAACAGTGTTTCCTAGACTTGCATTATTTATTTATTTATTTTTTACATAGAAACCAAGGATTGTACCTAAATCAATGCTAAGAATAAGCTGTTTCTTAGTCATTTCATGCACGAAAATGAAATAAATTGGCTAGCATGTATTAAAGGTCAAAGAAAATTGTTAAATTTAAAAAAAAAGTTTAGTAAAATAAAAAATAATGATTTTAATTATTGATTTTAAAAACTTGTAACCAATAAATTACTGATTTTAATTTTTAATTTTAGCTATGAATTGCTTATTTCGTTATTTCAAAATTTGAAAACTAAAAATCAAAAGAATCCATACATGTAATTTTTATATACAACTTTTATTTATAAGTTATATATATATTATTATTAAATAAGTATATTAATATAATATATTAAAAATCTTATAATAAAATAAAAAATAATAATTATTAGAGTGTCAATTATTATTAATTAACCATGTAAACTTCTATTAAAAGGAAAAAGATGTCCTCAAAATCCAAACGAGGCTGGAACCGGCAAAGGCTTTAGTTACTGCTCTTTGTATCCCAACTCAACTCACTCCCGAGTCCTGACTTGGACAAGGAATCCATTAACTCGCTCATTGATTCGCTAGGGTTTTGAAAGCCCAAGTCGATTTCTCTTCTGTCACGTTCAAATCAACGTACGGCCTCACTCTTCTCATCTGGACCAGCCCTGCAACAATGCCGTTTCCTCTTCAGGTACTCAAAGCTATATGAAGAATTTCTTTATTTCACGATTAAATTGCTGTTTGGTTCCAGGGAATTCTGTATATTTAGAACTTGGATATCAATTTTAACTGTTAGGGGAGATAAATGAAGAGTGATTTTTTTTTTTTTTAATTTTTGTTTAGGTTGATAGACACCTGTGTTGTTGAGGAGCCAAATCTCTCTGAGTTTCTGTTTATATTTGAGCAATAATTGAAATTAAAAGGGAAAGGGCAAGAGCTCAGGAACAGTGTTTATGAGTTTGCAGTATACGGAGGTGGAGATTCGACATTTCCTCCATCAGGAAAATCCCCTTTTACTCCTTCAGAAGGAGGAAGGTTATGAACAATTTCCTTGCTGTGCATGCAATAAATTATTATCTAGTCCTAGTTATGGTTGTGACGAGTGCGGTTTTGGTCTCCATAAATCTTGTGCCGAAATTCAACTGGAGCTTCAACATTACTCTTACCCTTGTTCTCACACTCTCACAAATCCAAAATTTTGCTGTACTTGCCACTGTTGCCTTGGAAACAAAGTTAAGGCTTTTACTTCTGTGGTTACCAGTGTAACTTTGACTTGGATTTCGAATGTGCCTTAATGCCCACCACTGAATTAGATGTTGGGCAGATTCAACATTTCACTCATGGGCATCCATTACAACCTGTTGATCCAAACAAGGAAGTTGAAGTTAGCTGTTCATTTTGCAGAAAGCTTTGCTCTTATGCTGCCTATGGCTGCGAGAAGTGCAATTTCTTCCTCCACCAGTCATGCATGGACATACCTCGAAAGATCCATGGTCACTCTTTTCACCCTCAACACACTCTGGTCCTGCTCACAACTCCATCATACAAGTGTAAAGCTTGTGACAAAAACCGCACAGGCTTGCTGTACAAGTGTGGAAGGTGTGATTTTGAATTGAATGTTGGATGCACCTTCTTTCTTACCATTGATTGTGAAGCTGTTCAGTGGATTCCACATATCTACCATCAGCATCCATTACAGTATTGCAAGACTATTAGGTTTGTCACAGATGCTATTTTTTTCCTACATCGCGCATGTGCCATTGAATTGTTATCACAAACAGTTGAACATCATCCATTGCATCCCAAACATCGTCTGCTGATCAAATCCAATCGTTACCAAGGGATTATGGTATGCAAGGCATGCGGGTCATATGGCTCTGAGGTCTTAGCTTGCTGCTGTGAGGATTGTTCTAATTTTCAAATGCACTTGGACTGTTCTTCATTGACACCTTCCATTAGCTTTGGTGACCACTGGTACCTCTTTACTCTCTTTTAGAAAAGAGGTAAACTTGGTTCTTGCCTCATTTGTGAAAAACCTTGCGGAGCCTTCTTCCTTTGATGTGTCATTTGTAATATAAATCTCCATCTTTCAGTGCCATCCATTAGCAACAAAAACAGCAAACATAAGTACCGTCGACATCCTTTGATTCTTATACAATCTTGATTCCCCCCTAATAATGAACAAGAAATTTATCTCTTTTTTTAGAAAGAGATAAAATAAAATTACACAAAAAGGGAAAAAATTATTGAAGTTGCATGCAGACAACCATGGACCGCCGTTCCGTGCGAACCTACCCTTTGTCGTTCCCCTAAAACCCGGACCAGCTGCCCTCCGTGAGAGAAACCACCGAAGATTTTAGTTGCAGCTCCGACGCTCGACCCGGCGGGTTCAACACACTCCGCCTTTTGACTCAGTTCTGAATTCAAACAATAACATGCGAATCCTTTCAAATGCTCGGCGACTCGCGAGGGTGTTGAAGCCCCCAGCAATCCTCCTCCATTCACAACACCGATTGCTCTCTTCTCATGTACTGCCTCGCTCTTCTCTCCAGTGTAAACCCTGCAACAATGCCTCCTCAGGTACTGAAACTGTGTGAATATTTTCTCTTTTTTGATGATTGATTCTTGTTTGGTTGCGGGGAATCTGTAGAGAAATGGGAATTAATTTAGCTGTTTTAATCTAGTTCTCCATTCTGTCAGCGGAGAATCCTGAGAAAGTGATGATCTTGGAATACAATGCATTTCTTTTGGAACAAACATAATTTTCCAGTGAAAGATAATATAATATTAAGCTGTTGATTTCACAGGGCGTGTCTAATGCCACAACATGCGATTTATTCTATGATGTCAAGGAAATCTTTCTCTACAGAAGCAGGAACCATCACTGGCAATTCAACAGGTTCTTGATTTCTTTTATATATATGTACACACACACACACATATATATATATATATATATATATTTTAAGTTGTTTTTGATTCTTCATGTTTGTTTGCAAGGTTTGATATGTGTTCCTAAATGCAGAACTGAGTCTATGTAGTTCTCTGTTATCTTATTTTCTGTCACTTATCATTTGTTTTGATTCTTTTCTATTATTCTAACTTATTTGCAATGTTGCCTGTGGTTTAATTTTCCTAATGCTGACTATTCATTCATAAAGCTTGTGGTTTATTGTATGAAGATAGGGAAGGAGGAGCGAGAGCTTGTCACTTTGATTTTGATCTGAATGAATTAATCAATCACATCAATGCTTGTGAAATATAATTGTCCCAATGCTTACTATTAGTCCATCATTCATAAAGCTTTTGGTTTCTTGTTTACAGGAGACACTGAATCACTATGGAAAATAGAAAAATTGAGATCCGAGACAGTGAAGCAGCACAATGTTTCCAGTGGGTTTTCATGTGCTAAAGTAATAAATCTTATATAATCTTTTTGCATTCTATACCTGAATGTTAAAATTGATTTTCTCTATATGTAGAATGATAGAATCTCATTATGATCACCTAGGGGATTTTTATCTTTATTTTGCCTCTAACCTACGTGGTCCTGTTCTTGTTTAATCTCTTTCAATAAACTTCTTCTGTTGCTGTCTTTGCAGGGTTTCCTGCTAGAACGCAAGCCTCAAGATGCTGCAAATATCATTCAATTACTTAACCAGGTAAATCAGATTTCCATGCGCATTGGTCTTCCCAGATATTTTTTCCCTTTTGCTGAAGTCTTCCCTGACATAAAAAACCTGAAATTGGACTGAAATAATAAAAGGAATTAAATATTTACAGGCAATTAATATTAAGCAAATTCTGTGGTAAAGGGACCACTGAATATTGCGGCTATTTATTGAAGAAGTGCATCTACCATGTCTTTTACAGGTTTATGCCAGATTTGATTTGGAAAGTTTGGTATATCATTAAGTAGTTGGGAGGCAGGCAATTATGGCAAGTAACATTTTTGGAGAAATGGGGAAAACTTGTTGCTGAGTTTCTGTGATGCACTAGTTATAAATTCAAATTTAATGGTCTTGGGATGAGTATCAAATCATATGGAATCTATCCTTATGGTTAGCGTTTTCCTTTATTTTTGCCCTTTTGTTTGTGTGACATTTATCTGCCCTGTTTTAATGAGTGAGAAAAATACTGATTCAGACCTCCAAAAACATATCATATTGTATGCATTTTTTCACTCTGTTATGTGATTATGATTTAAGTTTTTAATTTTCACCAAAATAATTTAATTTTTTAATCTTTACATGCTAGACTTCACCCGACTCAAAAAAGTCAGCTATCATGGACAAACTTGAGAAGCTGGTAAACAAGTGGCCTTTTGAAGTTATTAAGCATCAAAAAGAGGACAGGAAGGTATACTCTTAGAGTGTTAAATTATCTTTCTAAGATAATAAACCTTGTGATTTCTTTCAAGTTTTTAGCTGAAACTATCCATAGAACTTATACTTTAGTCTTTCATTTTATTTGTGAAATCATCAGGCATTGGCTGCTTCTTTAAAAGCTGATATTCCTGCCATGGTGGTCTATTAAGCTCTGGTTTAGCAGTGAGTGTAAATTTGGAACATATAGACAAAAACGAAATTCTGTGTTGACGCTTTGGATATCGGATTTTACCTTCTGAAGCTCTGCGGACACTTGCTAGCATGCTTGGCTACTCCTAAATTGTTACAAGGATATTCCTAAATTGTTACAAGGAGTTAATACGCTTTGATTTCTCAATTCTCACGGCACACTGCTAGACCCGTTGCAAGCGTCATCCAATTGGAAAAAATTGTGTTTCTAATTCTTTGCAATGGATGTAATTCAACCCTGTTAAATCACTGGTTTTTTTTCTTTTTTTGGCTTAGTTTAGTTGTACATTTGTCAATCGATCATTTATTTTGAAAAGCATTTTTACTGTTCTCTTGCCTAGATAGAGACTTTTAGAATATGACATTTATCAGTAATCCAGGTTAGATATATTTCATAGCTTGAGATGTTAGCATGTTCCAGCACTTTCATTGGTTTGCTTGATGTATCTGTCATGCAAGACAGATAATCTCTTTGGCCCATGTTTTTATTTTAGACTACCATGAAAATGTCTTGATGGTGAAGATGTTCGGAAAAGTTTCATTACTTGCAATAAGTTGTATTGCAGTTCCGTATTGGACTGCAAAACAAGGACTATGATATTTGGAGTTTTCTTTAAGTCTAATAATTTATATTTTGTAATTTAATGTATATTTTTTTATTTAAAATATACTTTTAGATAATATTTGATATACTAAGAAAATATAAGATGAAAACAAAAAAAGAGTTTATGATTACAAATAAATAAATAGGAGATATAATTTTATTATACATATTATACATAAGTCTTATACAAAATCATAAGTATTCATTTTCTTCTAAAAATGAGCGTAATTCATCATGACCTTTTTATACGAAGAAATGAACTACTAGGATTTTGTACAAGATTGATTTCAAACATCATAAGTAAATAAAACAGTAGTCTTTTATTTTCCCAAAGTAACATAGGACGGCCTTTAGAGTAACAATTGTGTGCTTTGATGATACTAAAATATAAAGTTCTACTTGGATCTCTTGTGTAGGCTCAAAGCAGCAAGCACTATGAGGAGGAGGAATGCCAGGGACCCAACTAGAGATACTGCAAATGAAGCACGAGCTTGTTCACAGAAATGATCGAAAATATTGCAGACTTTGTTCCATCCCACATGTGAGTTCCCCCGGTAGGCGATAAGGCCTACGGCCATGGCGGCTCCAGCGCTGGAGGCTAGCAGTGCCATCATAACCAGATCAAGAATGATCAAAATTAGCTCCAACCCTTTCTTCCCATTTCTGTTTGCTATCAAAAAGATGAGGGATATTGCTGCATAAGAGCTTGCTATGACATCCGTTACAAAAGAGTACCTATCAAAAGAAATGGGAAAGTTAAGATTATATTCCATTTATTAAAATTATTCTTGAATCTTTCATTATCAGACTTAAACTTTTGAATGAAACAGTTTTTTAACGGACTTTATCCTTTTATTATTAGAAACAAAAATGAAAAACTGATTAATCCACCATGAGAGAAAGAAAAATGAATTAACTTACACAAAAGCTGACAAGTATTGCCACTTAGCTGGAACAGGGACATTGAGAGGAGGCAAGTTTGGTGAAATTTTGAGTGGGACAACTTTGGTCTGCTTATCAACCCCAAGAAGTATGGCAGCTACAAGAGTCAGCACAAAAGCCATAAGCCTTAGAAACAAATTCACCATTCTCTGTTTTGAACCAATATTGCTCTTTTGGATCTCCATTTCTTCTCAAAAATGGCAAGGAGCCTTTTTCTCTATCAAGGGAATGAGAAAATGCAAGTTTTAGGGAACAGAGGCAATAAATAATAGAGACAGTTAGGAAGAAAGCTCACAACATGAATGCATTAAAGTCATGGAGGCGGGCAAGTGTGGAAGCAGTTGAAGTTTGACTTTTGGGATAAATTTAGATAATTGAATTAAGAGTAGAGTTTTTGAAATTAAGAAAGGTTTTTTGTTTGATAATCGATATTTAATAAAGGATTTTTTTGTCATGTGGTTATGAAGATATATGTTAAGAATGTAATAAATATATTTTTTAATAATTAAAGTATATTAAAAATAATAAAAATTAACTTGAATTTAATTAATTGCTTAATTTAAATTATTCATGTGATATTAATATTAAAATAAAAATTAATTTTTATTATTTTTATATAAATTAATTATAAAATGATACATTTAATATACGTTTAATTTTTATTTAAAGATATATTTATATAAATTCTTTAATAAAATAAGATATAATTTAGATAAATCTTTTAATAAAATATCAAATTCTTTATGTATTTATTTATTTGACAATAATTTTATAAAAAAAAATTTCATGTTTTACAAGTATAAAAATATAATATGAGTATTGAAAATATGGGAATATAAATAATTTGAGTAGACGGGTGGCTGATAATTATTTTCTGGTCTAATTCCCAAAATCCCTAAAAATCTTCCCAAATCGTGGGGAAGCGAAAGATGAACGACTACTCCACGTGACATTTATTAGTCAAGCATCCACATGGTAAGGGGGAGCAATGCTTATGTCAAAGGGTTCCATGGAAGTTGTTCAGGATTCATGTGGCATTATCTCAACCATCAAATTTTGTTACATTTCGTTCTTATCCACTAGTATAAATTTGTTGGACCATTCCTGACATCATTAGATGGACCACCAAACGTTGAAGGGATTTCAAGTGAAGCCTATGGAGAGAAATATTGATGGTTTGATACCAAAATGAACTAACTCAGGTGAAATTTTGTTCATCTTGATTATCCAGTTAATTTAATGAAGCCAACAAAATTTAAAGCAAATTAACTAGATTGTACTAGTATAAAACTAGAGTGTAGCCATTTCGCCTAATTTTAAGATTGCGTTTGGGATTAGTATGCTATTGTATTGTCATAAAAAAACATTTTAATATTTGGTAATTATTTGTTAGAAGTGTTGTATAATTATACCACAAAATATTAAGTAATTAAAATTCAATTAATTAATATTTAAAAAGTTAAAATACTAATTTAGTCTCTTAACTTTTAAATTTATACCAAAATTATCCCTCAATTTTAAAAAGTATTAAAATTATCCCTACAGTTTAATTTCTAATACTAAAATAATTCTCAAACTTTGAAAACAATACTAATTTAGTTCTGAATTTTGAAAATAAGTATCAATTTAGTTCTTAAACTTTGATTACAAATATTAATTTGGTCTTTTAATTTTAATTATATACCAATCCAATTTATAAATAGAAATATGTTACAATGATAAAAATATGACTACTTAATTTTTACATGTCATTAGTATTTAAAAAATTGATTTTATGATAAAATAACAAGTTATGTAATACTTCTGTTAATAAAAGGACTTCTTTGGTATTTAAAATTAAAGTTTATGGGTAATTTTAGCATTTGTTGAAGTTAAGGGATAATTTTAATACAATTTAAAAGTTGAGGCACCAAAGTGATAGTTTAACCTATTGAAAATTGTGTGATAATGAGTCATTGTTTTGTTATTCGCATTAAATTATAAAATAGAAGTGATTTGAGAGTGAAAGAGCGCCATTACGTTGTTGTCAAGACAGGATAATAATTTTTCTGTTCCCTTAACAAATATTTATTTATGAATTTATCTAATTTGTGTTTTTAAAAATGTAATATATATTTTAAATTAATTTATATTAAAATTTATAAAAATTAATATATATTTTAATTGAATAATTAATTAAAATAAAATAAATATTTATATTTTTAATAAAAAAATAATTATAAAAAATATATATTTATTAAATATTTATCATATATTCTAATGATATAAGATAATCTATGATATGTTGGTTTGAACAGAAAAATTTAATTTCCTTTAAATAAAATCTTAAGGTCGAATCTTATGAATGGAGAAATAAGTGTTGGAAAAGTTTTTCTTTAATAGGGTTTGACATAACTTAATTTTAAATTAATCGAACTCAATATAATTATCAAATATTAAGAGGTCAATAAAAAAAATAATATAAGATAAAGAAATCCTTTATTTATTAGGATCTGCTGGTTGCTGCCAAATGGAATAGGGTACTGTTTCTCCTGGTGTGGCATGGCCAGGGAGGACTGGTTGGCTCGTGTCAGTAATGTAATTTCCGTGGTTGAGTTGATTGATTGCTCGCTTGATTTTAGGGAAATTTTTTATTGGATTAGGTTTTGACTATTAGCAAGCAGACAAGATAGGTAGACTAATTAGAAAGATTAACTTACACATCAGTATTTGTCATATTCTTTTCAAAACAAGATTTGGTTACACTGCTCTCCAAGCTTTTCTTGACATATGCAACCTCTGATTTTTTTTTTTTCTTTTTGAAAATAGGGTATGCAACCTGTAAATTTATTTGGAATGTAACATACTATATTTATTTAAGGTTTTTTCATGCACAAATTAAAATTATATTTATTACATATTTTTATCATTATTTAAAAAAATAATATCTGGGTATTAAACTCTGCATCCTAGAAGACTTTCTTCTTTCCTTTAAAATAAAGAATTTTTTAACATATGCTTTTGAGAGTGTATTTATTATATAGTTTTATTATCAATTTATATAAAAAAATAAAAATTAATTTTAATTTTATTATCTGTTTAATTAAAATGTTCAATATGACATTAGTGTTGAAAATAAAATTTATTGATGTTAATAAAGGAAGTATTAATTTCCCCTTGTTATATATCATGGTATTAGATGTACCAAAAGGAAAGGAGAAGAGGAAATACATGTACTTTCTTTGGTCACCCAATAAAAAGATCAAACATACAACTATCTCATATATCTTCACATTCATTATTTAAGAAAATATATTTTGAAGTATTTTCAAATTAATATTCACGTTATATTCTTGTCATCCATCATCCATGCATATATATTGGATCTCTTGGAGGTTCAGTTGATCACTTGATTGAGATAAAAATATAATTGACTTCTAGTTTTGAATGATAGGTCACATGCATGTCATCAGTAGTGACCAACCTAACAAAACCCTTGTGAAGCGATAATAATAGTCTTGAATTAGATAACCAAAAGAATTAATAAAAGCAAGAGGAAAAGCACACTTGAGCCTTTTTTATTGGTATGGGTTTTCCAATGGAAAAAATAGCACGCTACTAATAATTAAGAAGACTATTGAAAGCCAATGAAGGGTAGTAATACTCAATTAAGAGAGATATTTCTTGGAGGCCAGCAAGGACTATAAGATAATATTTCGTACTCTATCTGTGTTATAATGATTATCATTTTTTAATTTTTTTAATTTAACTTAAATATTTAGAGATTATTTATATATTTATTTATATTATTTAAAAAATTAAAAATTAAAATAAAACTTTTTGTAATAAGATAATTAATTAAAATAAATAAACAATTATAAGGTTAAAATAGAGAAAAAAATGTCAATCAATCTTAAAAAGTAAAAAAATTGGGATAAACTCAAAATAAAAAAACGATAGCCATTTTAGGATAGAGTGAGTAAAATTTTTAGTATTTTTAGTGTAGATATAACCTTTTTTTTTTTATTAAACTA